AATGCTGCTCTGTCTGGTCCGCAGGGAGAAATAAATGCAACCTAAATAAAATTAAATGTTATTAGCATGCTGAATAAATCTGCTGTTTATGAATTGGTCACTTGAAAATGCTATTTAACTTAATTGGTTTGAAACTCCTATAGGACAAATATTCCATACAAACAATAAGCCCTGCAATAATCAGTTTATAATAACAAACGTTTGGCTGCTGTGTGACCATCAAGGTACAACCTCAGACATAGTTTATTGTACTTTATGAGCTCGAATTTAATGAGTGATCTAGGTATTAGGACGCATCGTAGGCACATTGGTCTATAGTTATTATGGCTGCAATGTTCCTGAACACTGATCATTTCTTGCAACAACTAATATAAGATGCACAGGCTCACTCACACATATATACAATGTACTTGCACAATTAAGCTAAATATGTTTAGGCACTCTTTTTTAAAAAGTATAACTTATCTGTGGCTGCAGAATTCCATTACTAACACCTCTAGTTTATGTGAGTCACAGGAAACCTTACAAAACACCTGTTTTTACAAAATGGCATTATAGCAGTGAGAAAGTAGAGAGTTCACTTTGACAGAGGCCCTATAGTACTTGCTCTTCTTGCCACCTGTGTCCAGAGCACACAGACCCCGGGACACATGAAGGCAGTACAAGCAATCACACATCGCGGACTCTCATAATAAGCTGACGCTGGGAAGTGGGTGATGCAGCACTTAGCTTATGCCAGTGCTGATAAGAGCCTGAAAGTATTACCTCGGTCTGGCAGCCCGCTCCAAGAAATCCATCCTGAGCCAGGTCATCAATTCTGCCCTATCTGATTGCTAACCAATGCCTGGCAGCTCTATGTCGTGGTCCTGGCTTCTACCTTTGAAATTCTCTCTATGACTTGCACTTTCATGCTAGTTCTCTCACAGAAAAAAGTGATACATACACTATGTACATATAAGTTTTTTTTATGTGGTCTTACACCTATATGATAAAGCATAAAACTGTGACCAAATGATCCCAGAGAAGTAAAATTTCCATAGCAATGAAGCATCTGACTTAATCAGTTCCTGAAATGTATTAACTTCAATCACATCTCCCCCTCATTGCTGCAGTGGACCTATAGAGCACACATTAAAGCCTGTGGAGTTCAATCCTCTCACCTACACCACGTGGCTGCAAAGTCTATCAAACAAATGAGCAATTAATTGACAAATACTCAGCCCGACTTGTGTTATGCTCTAGTGAGGCAGGCAGGCAGGCAAAGCAAGCCATTTGATTAGCTGATAAGCAGATGACTCAACAAACATTCAAGGCATGTTTACTGTGGTTCGATCAGAGTACGCCCAATACGCAGAAGATTGGACGCAAATACATTGTGAAAACACTCAGCTGTTCCAATCCGCAAGGCAACACGAGGGCACATAAAACTGTGAATTATTTATGGAAGAGACAAGTGAAACATCACAGTGGATCATTTTCAGTGGGCTATATTAAATGTAGTTTTCAAAATAATATGTCTGAGTCTGGACATTTCCCAGAAATCATTCCCAGTGACAGGATATCGAGCCTGCAGATTAGATATGAAATCATATTAGATACTTCCCTGCCATAGAACCTATGAGTTACAACAGCAAAGCAAGGGTTTTTCTCATGCTAATTGGGCCTCCTTCTTTCTTAGGAAATAAAGATCAAAGGATATTCGCTTTATCTCTATTTTAGTTATTAGCTCTGGTTCAAAATGAAAAGTCAAGCATTTTGCAGGTCTCATCTGAAACAGGGTTCACAGTATCAATGAACCCAGGTTCAGCTTCAGTAAAAACCACAGTTTGAATGGGCAGCTCATAAATAAAGCTCTTGTACATCACATCCAAAGCTAACATTAGCTGTTACAGTTTGTTTCTGAAAGTGAACTCAGTTTAATTGAGCAAAGTTCAAGTCTCCACAAACAGCAAAGTAACAGAAAAAAAAAATCGATGGCAGCAGAGGCATGGAAAAAAGAGATAGCATTGATTTATCTGCCATTGATTCGCAAGGATCGCTGCATTGTGCCCTCTGGGTGAAATGCATGCTGTCTGCCAACTGGCGGGGATGAATCTGAAAAGGTGTCAGGTGGTTAGAGGACACAGAGGTGGAGGATGAGATCAGGGGCAGTCAGAGGTGGCAATGAAGGAAGAGAAGACTGGAGTGGAAGCAAGGGCATGAAGTATCAACCTGAAGAAGGCGGCAGAAGAAAGACTTGATAAGAGGGGATAATGTTGCAAGGATGACACCCCCACTGCACCAGGTTGACTCTCCATAGGGCTGCATTAAAAGTCTTTTACAGAAGTGAGAAGAGCTTAAGCAGAGAGCAGCTGAGCGAAAGAGGAAAAGGCTTGAAGCTAAAACCATCATATAAACCACACTGGACACCTCTCTGTCCTGGTGACAATATCCAAATTATAAATTAATATTACATAGATGACCCCTATTTTAACTATTAAGCACATTAGCAAGCCATCTTCAATTTGTTCAGCATGAAGTCAAACGCTGCTGCCTGCTACAATAATACTGTATGAGTAAGCATATATGAAATCCTGCTGTTGCAAGTGCTTGACAAGACAAGCATCTTTTGCAATATTTTAAGTCTCAGCAATTGGCAAATAGATGTCCCACCAGAGACTATATATTGACAGCCAACTGTTGTTGAGACGAGGGGCAGCCAGGACAGAGATCAGAGGCCATAGCGGTCACACAGCCCCAGACGAAGTGTTATTCCTGAACTTTTGTATCTTTACAACATCCCTCTGTCTCCTCCTAAGGCTGTTGGCAATCACACGTCTACACTGAAGCTGAAGGAGACCTAGGGGCAGAGTTATTGCAGCCCTAGTTGTGGTTGGTATTTTAGAAAAAGCAAGGTGATACTTTTTTTGTGGCTTTGTTACTGTGAACACAGTCATATTTCACCAGCTTTTTTTTTTTTTAAGTTTTGTCAGTTTTTTTTACTTTTTTTAATTTAAAAATTTTCAAGCTCTCTGTCTCAGCGCTTGAAGTGCTTTGTAACCTTGTTTTTTATAGAAGGACTTTCTGTCCATTGCAGTTTAAGTGAAGCTGACTTGACAAAGACTGCAACTTGTTTCTCTTAGAAGGCTGTTTTCTTGAGCAGTGTTTTGGTTCAACCCTCGAAAGCATCTGGTTTCCTGTTTGAGTCAGTCAGAGATGCCACCCGGTGCCTCAGTGTACACACAGGAAGTTGCTTAACAGACAGGCTAAGTTAAGGTTATGTGGTGCCCCTTAATGTTAAAAATGAGTGTGCTTTTGGGTGGTGAATGTTACTGCTATTCACACAGGGACAGATCTAGAACATTTTGAATAGGGTGGCCAGGATGGGGCACATTTGAAATACATGTAAAAAGTAAATTAAACCTCTAATTCTATGAAATAATAAGTCACACATTACTGAGAATCTAACTGTTTATTTTGTGCAAAAATGTAACAACAGAGGTGAAATGTTTATTTCACATTTTCAGGTATTTACCTGTCTGCACTGAACAGAAGCATAATAGAAGGTCTGGCACGGTAAGACCCCTAACAAATTATGTTAAATCTCATGGCAGATCTTTTCTCACAAAAGAAGAGAACACAGGAGATAATCCAAATTATTTAAACATGCTACATCTAATGTAAGAAGTAGTATTTCAGTAACTGGAAAGCAGCTTTGAAGTACGGGTTCTTACATTTAGCTGCCACTACCCCATAAGAAAAAAACTGTTTTTTAACACCTTTCATGGCATTTGTCAGCACCTTTGTGGTACTGTAGCTGCAGCTCCCAGCAGCATATTAAAAAGACACACTTACCCATATTTCTTTATTCAGTAAGAAATCTAAATGTGCTAAATATAAATAATCTTTTACACCAACATGTAAAAAGTTAGTGTTTGCCTCATAATATCAAATTATAACATATCAGCAACCAACAAAAGCTTTAGTACAAAATATTAACAACTTAATTGATGCTGCTGTCCATCAAGCAAGTCTTCATGTGACCATACACATTGTGTTGGTACACTTGTTTTACTCCTAACGGCAGCTGGCTAAGGCAGGCCTGCCAAGAACACAGCTAGGCTTCCTGTTCTTTGAGAGCTTCACATTCTCTCTCGATACAATACAGTCAGCTCAGCACTGGTGTCGGTGACAGGTGAAGGGCTACTTTCTTTTAATTAAGACCTACTTTAATGAAATGCATCTGAGGGAATAAGCTAAAACACAAGCTATCACATATGATCAATATTTGTCAAACAAATGTGACATAAAAAAAAGTTAATTTTAAATCAGATTTGTCTGTACCTATTCCCCTCAGCTCAGTCGTGAAGGATTGTGATGATCTCTGTTCTAATTAGGTGCCTTAATCTTCTGAAAATGTGACTGTAATTTCGAGGTTGATTAAAGTCCTTCACTATGCCCTATTTTCACACTACACACTTCTTCTAACCAAGCTGACACACGTTCACAATAGAAAAGTGACAAAACTAAGCAAACTCACAACTTGAATAATATACTTCCCATTCACAAATTAATTTATTTGATTTTTGAGTGTGGCGTTGAAGGAGACAACCCTCCCACAGTGTAATGCTTACCACCACCAACAACAACACAGGATAGAAGTTCATTTCTGACTGGTTTGACAAAGAAATCCCA